TTTTTTTTTGCAGCAACTGCAGTGCCTGCTAATCTGGTTTGTGGACTGCAAGACTAAATGTGTGGACTGAATGTGCTCCACAAGAGGATAATAATGAAAACACATAATTGTAGAGTAATTAACATTTGCATCTCTATTTTGTGGGACATTGGTCAAAATGTTTACTATAAAGTGATTTTTAATGATTCTGTATGGTATATATATGTAAGCTATATACTTGAATTGCTATTTCAATACATTTTAAATGTATCTATGTAAGAACAAAGGTTAATAGAGTTTCTTGAATGTAAGCAAATTTTTCAGATGATTTGTTATGAATTACTTATGAGCAGAAAAGTTCATATACAAACATTCTCCTCAAGGTTAGGTTAGTAATCATGAAAGCTTCTGTGCAAGAAAAGGCTTTTTTGCATAGCAGGACATAACAGCTTACTATAAAAACTTTGTAACTTGGTTTAGATTCTGTTAAATAAATAATGACACTGAATCATAGTCATGTTGTGTTGATCATCTGAGGTTATATTTCATCTACTTTCATGAACTGTTAGAGATCAGATAATTATAATGTGATATGTAAAAGCTTAGAATTGAAAGATGGTGTACTTTTTCATGTTGTTCAGTTGGATTTCAATCATTAAGTAATTTAGAAAAAAAAACTATTTTAATGTTATTTTTTAGTTACTATCATTTTGTTTTTCATAGCAACCGTTCCCCACAGATATGTGGTGATAACACACTTTCTCAGTTTAATGCTCATGATGGCTCATCCAATGGGTGTGTATGAAGGAGTTTTAAAACAAAGCTGTTATTGTGTAAATGGCACCACATTTTATAGACCTTTAAAATAAAATCTCATAAATATTAAAATCAGCCTTCAACAAATGTTTTAGAGTCTCTTTCATGCAAACTTGGTGATAGGCACACATATCTACAATACTAAAAGAAAACGACTCTCTTGGACTTTCTGGATTTAATGAACTATTCTGTGGCTACCTTACTGTTTCCTGTTATGACTACTATTGTGTCTATGCTATTAACAGGGTCTGTTAAACTCTTTTAAAATAAAATCCATTTAATTATTATTATTAATATTATTTCACATTTCATTTATTTTAAGTTTTCTGGCTGTCCTTTCATTCTCCAACACTTAGTGCCTTACAAGCAGTCTCTACATGTTTCACCTTTAAAATCATTTTAGCCAAATCATGTTCTACTGACAAAAGAAAACCTCCAAAACCATAAAGATTTCTTACTAAATATGGCTTCTTTAGGCTTCACACATATTCACACATTTTTAACGCAATCAACCCATCTGGAGCAGAGCGCAGAATGGACAAACTGCCCGAAATGCGTCGACTGAGACAGAGACATTTCAGGGATTTTAAGTCATTCTGCGCTCCAGATGGTTGATTGCGTTAATCGAGATGACATTGTTAACGTTAACAGCCCTAGTTTGTTGGTTTGTTGCTATTTAGTTTTATTTTGTGAGCCAGCCAGAGAATCCCCCGCCGTCCCGCCCCTCTCCTCCCTGTGCAGCTGGCAGCAGCCGCACCTCGTAAATGGAGGGCGCCCATACTCTTCGCAAATGGGCAATGCAAAACCGATCGGTGCCCATGCAATCCCCAAAATGCACTGACATAATGTCGGGGCAGCGTGGATGCGAGCAACTTTTTTTTGCCGATGCTATGATGCCGCCCCCACCACACTTCCGCCCTGGGCAATGGCCCATGTCTCCCATATCGAAACCAGCCACTGGCAGCAACTTGCTGCCAGCAAGAGCGCTAGAGCCAGAGTAGGGCAGAGGCGAGCTGGAACAAACCATTTTGGGAGGGGGGGTTATCTATACTTTTGTTGTTAAAATGTTACGTCTCAAACAAGTACAGCACTATATGCTTTTTATATTTTTAGTAGTGTGTCACCCAAACAGCAAATATTGTCAAAAAAAAGTAAGAAAT